TCTCGGTTTGAGTTCATAAGGCACCCAATTTTCTTGTTTTTGTATCATTCTCGTGGCTCTCAATCGTACAGAAACGGCTTGTTGAGTTACTCCCAATAATCCTGCAAGCTCCTCTTGCGTTTGACTCTGATCTTCTTCGAGTAATGCCTCTAATTCTTTGTTTTTGATTTTTTTGGCTGTCCAGAGCGAGGCTTGTCTTCAACGCTGAAATCTCCATCCTTGAAACGTCGAAACCATTCCCTACATGATTTATCAGTTAGAGCAGTGTCACCATAAACTTCGACAAGCATTCGATGGGCTTCAGCTGCACTTTTCTTCCAATTTAAGCAGAAAATTAAAACCTCCCGCAAATGCTGCTTGGTTAGCACAAAATTCGACATTTCAAACACAGTAAAAATCAAGGTTTTTGTATGAAACTCAAAGCGATATAAACTGAATATTATTAGCAGATGTCTAACCTCTCTGAAACCGCCAAAGCTGTCACTATGAACTATTCACAACAGTTAAAGTTATCTTTTGGAAAACGGACCGAACTAATTTGTACTCCTAATTTTATTCAGAAGTATAATTTCTGCTTGCCGCTTACTAATTTGATTTTCTTTTCTTTTGTATTTTTAAACAGTCAAATTTTTGTAACATTTTTCCCGTGCAATTTGATCTTTTCTCTTTTTTGTACTATATTTCATAATAAATCTGTTAATTTCTTTTGTTACTAACGTTATTGTGCATTATTTCTTTAATTGTGTTGTGTTCGTTTCTCGCCACGACTCGTCGCTTATCTATTTCGCGCGACCAGCCCTTCACCCTGCCCTAACCTCTGTCGTTAGGTTGAGTTTGCCGAATCCATCATAGCCGATTTAGTAATTCTGGCGTTTTGTGCAATTCAGCTTACAAGGGAACCGTCACAAGTGCCCCCCCCCTCTCCCCCCCATTTGATTCTCCTTGAAATATGTTGTAAAACATACAATTTTAGGAGACACGTATTTTTTTATAGTGGTACCTAACTCAAATTTAGAGAGTGAAACAACCCTTTGAAAAAAATGGGTTTTTTCTTTGTATGTGAATATTGCCAAAATTGTAAGAAATATCAAAAAATGTTTCAAATAAAAGTTGTATGGCTTGTAATGGGCTTTATAACTGTGTAGTTGAATTTTTAAAAATGTTTATAATGTATAATATGTTTATAATAAATATTTTCTAATTTACCCCCACCCCTTGTTATTATTTTTTCGAATTTTAAAATTTTTGTAATGACAAAAGTTGTAGCATTTTTTACGCTGAATTCAACCATATATGATTTTATTATGTTCCGAAATCGCATCTTTACAAAAATGAGTCATCAGTATCATACTATATGCGTCGCGCTGCATGACGCATCGTTTATACCGCACTTGTGTTGAGCAATAGTCATTAAATAAATATAAAAATAACATGTTATTACATATTTGCGAAAAAAAATTAAATTATTGCTAAAGCATCCCTTTCACATTACACCCTTATAGATAATCGCTGCATTTCGTGCGCAGCGCGTTGTCATATGCAAGTTAGTTATCAGCGCATATTACACTTTGAAGTTTCGCTTGTAGTGACTACGGGAAAATAATTTATGAAACAAAAACAGTGAATGAATTAATCTATTCAACATATATCCACCTTGACTTTACCCTCTTGGCCCAACTTGACTGACAATGAATTGAAATATAAAATTCCGTAAAGTTTACTCTTTTTCAATAATTTTAATATACTGCGATATATTCTACATTTGACGCATCAGGATTTCTGGCTGATTTAACGCTACGAGCTTTACTTTAGCAATGTTCTCGGGACAAATATCAAGAGACACGGTAGTGTCTCGCGCCAAGTTCACGCGCAGCGCAAGACCGACCGTGTATCTTTACGCGAGACGGAAGGTTCAGATGAGCCGAGATTATCGGATTTTAATAACGGCTGGGCCGATTGAGTTGGTAATAGGCTTAATCGAAAGCGCATACCCAAATTACATAAGAAAAATATGCTTGTTTTTGCTCTGTGTGCTTTATAAATCACGATATATGCATCCAAAGTCGAGAAATCTAAAAAATCATCATTTTTCTCGGATGTCACGCTAAAATGTAACGCATGTCTTATTGGTCAGCGTCGTCAGCACGCAACCAATCAGAACGCACTCAACTCAGATTTTTAATATGGCGGCGCTCAGATTTATATACATAGAACAGAAATATTAAACTTTGATATTTAATTTTATTTATTTTGGACAAATCATACACTAAAGTCTCGAATCATGTGCTTTTTTGACAGAAAGTATGATAAAATTAAAATTTATACAATCATACCAATTATCACTATGCCTTATGTGACAATTGTTTAGAGACTTTAGTGTATGATTTGT